TGGGGAACAGGACATAAGGGTCAGAGGTAGAAGCATAAAGCCTGAAGGAGATTATTGTGGGAGGAGGAGAGAGGGGGAGAGAGGGGGAGAGAGAGAAAGGAAGGGAGAGAGAGAGGGATGGAGAGGGAGAGAGAGAGGGAGGGTGAGAGGGAGAGGGAGAGGGGGAGAGAAAGAGAGAGGGAGAGGGAGAGGGAGAGGGAGAGGGAGAGGGAGAGAGTCAGGTGGGGTTGAGGCCCAGGAAAGGGGGCAGCTCAAGTGTGAAAGTGGTCTGTTGGCAGGAAGCTGCCTTCTGAGGTTGCTCATCCTCACTGATAGAGATGCTAAAATAAGCAGATGGCCAACCACAGAATATGGCCCCTGAGTGGCTTTATCATTTGTGAGGGCTGGTCAGACACGTCACCGTGCACTGTCCCGGTGACCTCCCATCCAACATCGGATTTGCTTCTGTGGTCTCTGGCAAAGGTCAGGGCCTGTCTCTAAAGGGGTGCATGCCCTTGCACGAGGCACCGAGCAAGGCCTGTGATTGGCTCTGGTCTCCTGTACGTCATAGGAGTATCCATGACAACAGGGAGGGGTCCTCTAGGTGTTGAGAGCCCTCCCTGCCTGGCCATATTATTCCATCTGAGCAAAGACACGGAGCCATCACCTTCATATGGTTCTTGCTTGCTTCCTGGAGCCATTCGCTCAATCGGTATGTAGAAGTACTTGGACTGTTCTAAACTGAGTTTGGGGCCGTACATTAAGAGTCACAGCGTCTCGGGAAGATGACTACCGGGAGAGGTAGGATGGCACTTATGTCTTGAGGACCCCCCCTCCCGTTTCCTGTTAGCCAAAGCAGTGCCCTCTTTGTTCCCACATTGGGCACCCACACCAAACTGCTCAAAGAAAGTATGTGTTCTACTAAAAATGTGTTAAAATAAAACATAGGGTAGAGACCATGTAGAATGTTTATCTCTGTAGACACGGTCACGAGTGCTTTAAACTCGGGCATTAAACTGAACCCACTGTCTTCAACTGCATAAACATCTCGGCCCTTTCCTGTCCTGTCCAAACACAGAATCCCTCTAGCTTCCTGCCCTCTTGAAATGTAAGGAGCGAGAGCTTCCAGGTAAATTCATGCGCTGTCATTTTCTAACTGTCTGACTGTGACCAGGGGACATTTGGAACCTCTGTGGGTTCCGTGAGAGCTCGGGAACCAGTGCAGGGAGAGTGTACGCTTCCTGCCAGGATGGCTGACGGCACAATCCCCTTTAGCATCATAGTCCACTCTGCGTCCTCCCTTCTCAGAACCCCCTACAGTCCGCTTTATTCTGGTTTGGGGAGCCCCTCAGGTTCCGGTAGAGATACTGAAGAGATGCCTTGGGCTTACGGAGGGATGGGGCGGCAGAGGATGCCGGAAGTGACAGCTTACACTGCCTTGCTGCCCCCGTGTCTCCTCCCTCACTTTGGATTTGAAGTTCCACTTTCTTTTACGTCACAGTCCTGTTGCAGCCTGGGTTCAGGCTCTGAGACAGGGAAGGGGCGTTGGCTTGAAGTCATGAAGTGTCCGCCTGCCAGATGAGTTCCACACAAGCGGCTGGTCCTAAATAGCTCCAGCCATCTTTATTTATACATAAAAAACAAACATGCTTTTCCGTACTAACAATTTTTCCCATCCTCCAATGCTAACCTCTGGCAAAAATATGTCAGATATGTCCCCTCCCAACTTTTACATCAAAACATCTTTTTTAAACAAAAAACACTTACCATTTTGCTAGCTTGGCCAAATGTGGAGGCAGGTACATCCTGTCTAAACCAAAAAGTGATAAACATAGGCACACCTTTTCAAGAGCAACGATATCATTTAAAACCAAACAAACCATCTTTACGGGCAGAGGGGTGAATTGCCTCCAATCTTGTCAGCACTGAATCAGGACAGCTCCCAGGGTCTGGAGTGGCAGCTGTGGCACCACCACAGATGCAGGGTCACAGGTGCGCACGACCACAGGTGCAGGGTCACAGGTGCGCACAACCACAGGTGCAGGGTCACAGGTGCGCACCGCCACAGGTACAGGGTCACAGGTGTGCACTGCCACAGGTGCAGGGTCACAGGTGCACATCACCACAGGTGCACACCATCACAGGTACAAGGTCACAGGTGAGCACCGCCACAGATGCAGGGTCACAGGTGTGTACCACCACAAGTCCAGGCCATGTTTTTATACACCGGAAGCGTGTTTTCTACCCCACCCGCTCACTGGAACTGTCTGAGAACCTTACTAGAACCCCTGTCCTGCTACCTTACTGGTAGCTTCTATTCGTTGGTGTGCCAGTGTTGCCCTAGCACATAGCGAGGCAGACGCCAGGCTTTCTATCCTCAAAGATCTGCCTCAGAGAGTCGGATGTAAGCCCGGGCTTTGCTAGTTTGACTTTGGGCCCCTGAGAAGATTCTGGTAAACAACCAGAGAGGATGAGTGACTCTCTGAACAGCGTGGAAAAAAGAACTGGCTTCATTAGACTGTCTCTCTATCGGAAAACACGAAGCAAATTTTATAATCAATAGTGGAATGGAACATGGGAGAATTTTACGAGACTTGAATGAAAGATGCACAAAGTCGGAAGCATCACGTGGAACTACCAGGAAGCAGATCGGATGCAGCCCTGGCAGGAGTTGGTCCTTAGGGAACGGGAGTGGAAGTGATGTATAGAGAAGCTGACGCCGGGAGGCAGAGAGAGCACAGAGAAGGAGCCTCGCAGGACAAAAAGACATAGAAAGAATGGAGGTGGGGACACGAGAGGACCGGTCTGTAGGAAGATAGGGAGGGATAGTTAGATCTCTGCCTGGACAAACTAGAAATCTCAGTCACTTCTCACACATCACCCTCCCCCTCCTGTCACTCACCCTCCGCCCACGTCTCTGAGATGCAGTTTTCTTCTCCATTCTGTTGTTGCTGCCTTGATTCAGCTTCCTCCAGTGACTGGCTCTTCTGCAGTGGTCTCCTTCAGCCTGTGCCCAGCACAGCGTGATACCTCACCCTGCTCCATCCTTCGGATGGCAAAGGGATAGGTCTTTTTTTTTTATCTGCCTGGCACCCTGTTTTCATCTGCAACATCTGGCTTCCAGCCGATCTGATGTTTCCTGGCACGGTGCATCTGGCCTTTGCTCCTGTGGTTCTTCGCCTTTTCTTATGTTTGGCAGCCTCCTCCCAAAGCCTTCAAAATCCAGATCAAAAATGACCAGGGCTGGGGAGGTGGCTCGGTGAACGGAAAGCACCTGTGGTCCAAGCCTGGCAAGCTGAATCCAATCCCCGAAACCCATAGGAAGGGGGAGGAGAGAAGCAGTTCCACACAGTTGTCCCCTGATATCTACTTGCATGCACGCCCTCACGCAATGCACACACACACAAGCACACACACACACATGTATACACAGACACACACATGCACACATGAGCAGACAGACATAGACACATAAACACAAGCACACACACACAAGCACACACATGGACACACATGAGCAGATAAGCACAGACACATAGACACAAGTACGCACGTGCACACACACACACACACACCACCACCACCACCACCACCACCACCACCACCACCACCACTAGTGATGATAATATAAAGCCTCTCAGGGGCTGCTGCCTTTACCCATCACTCCCCAATGGTTCACGAGGCTTCTGTAGGGACAAGCCCGGGATGTGAGGTTGAGCCATGGGGAAAGGCTTCCATTAGTACAAGTGTGTATCTTTTCCACGTAGACAAACAAAAGCACAGTTTTTTTCCTTTCTACATTCTTTAAGAAATGTCTCCAAACACAGCAACTCTGGGCCGGTTCCTTTCCACATTAATTTTTAAAGAAATGTCTCCCAAACAGCAACTCTGGGCCGGTGAGATGGCTCAGTGTAAAGAAGCCAGCCACCAATGTGATGGTCTGAACTAGGAGAGAACTGGCTTCTGCAGGCTGTCCTCGGGCACAGCATGGCACCCTCCACACACACACACCATAAACAAGCAAACAGACATCATCATCATCATCATTATTATTATTATCATCATTATCATTATTATCATTGGTTTTTTGAGATAGGGTTTCTCTGTGTAGCTTTGGAGCCTGTCCTGGAACTCACTCTGTAGACCAGGCTGGCCTTGGACTTACAGAGATTCACCTGCCTCTTCCTTCTGAGTGCTGGGATTAAAGGCTTAAGCCAACACCACCACCACCTGGAAAATATATTTATTTATTTTTTAAATCACTAAATTAAATGTAAGCAGCTGCACACAGAAGTGCAGGCCGGTCATCCCACCAGGTCCCGAAGACACCGACCGAGTCCAGAAGATTGAACCTTAGAGTTCTATGATCAGTCCAGACAATGCAGTTTCACAAAAATAAAAAACAAAAATCTGAAGTTTAAAACGAAAGGAAAAAAAAATCATGTACAATAGCTGACTTTCTTTGATACCAGCTGGTATCCAAAATTGATTTGGAAAGAAACTTTTACCCCACGGATGCTGGAACCCTCGTGATGCAGAATTGCACACGCAAAGAGCTGGCGTTTTGCACACTTCGTTCCTCTGGAAAGCACCAGCAGGTTAAATATCTGTTCAAGAGCGGCATCCCCGTGGCCCGGATGGATGGAGGTGTTGAACTTGGAAACCTCGCGTGGCCGAGCTCGACGTGCGGGCCTGTTGAACGTTAGTTCTAAGACTCACGAACCTAGCTGCTTCCCTTGGCTGAAGAAATGATTGGCAGTCTTGAATTAGACGCTAAGTCTCTTCATTTTGGTTGTGATTTCCACTCGCTGGTGTCCGCTAGAAAACGGGCAGGAACAGGATCGCTGCCAATCCAAGGAAGAAAGGCCAGGCTGAACTTAGCACCGTGCAGGATTCGAACTTAGCACCACGCAGGATTCAAAACTGACGCAAGGCGACTGTTTCAAGCCCTCACACACCCCTGGAAGCTAGCGCACAACCTCTCCTCAGGTGAGGCCTTAGAGGAGCTGATAATGTTTGCCATCTGAGTGGAGGGAGCTGTCGTCTAATGCTCTAGCTGGGCACTGGAAGTGCATCACGGGAGATGGTGACCACAGGCAAAGGGAGAGCATCCTGGGGCTGGGAGAAGAGAGTGCCACTCCAGCCGGGAATGTCCTGGCAGCTGTCACACTCAGAACACGTCCCTCGGGCCTCGTCTCTCATGTGGTGACAGTAATAAGTGTCTTGTGAGGACTATCTCAGAAATCCAACCAGGTCTGTCCACTCTGTTTACCACGGCGACGCTCGGAGGCCGCCAGTCTCCCAGCTTCGTGTTGAAAACAAGCTACTCCCATGCCTGCCCTGCCTCCTCTCCAGTAGCCGACGTCTTCCAGTCACAGCCAAAAACTCAAGCGCCAACCGTCTGCTTCAAAGGATCTACTCACAGAGGAGGGCAAGTTCTAGTCTGACTTGCCTGTTCTAGCAATTGGAATAAAAGTGAGAGGAAGGAGCATGTCTTAAACAAATTAGTGTCTTGGTTTTAACCTACTACGGCCATTGTTCACTGTTGATATACAGAACATATGTATCATATGTATGTATGTATGTATGTATATGTGTGTGTATGTGTGTGTTGTATGATGAACTAAAAGAAGACATGAGCAAAAGAGCCGCCCCCTGTAGGCACCTATACAAACCTATAAAGAGAATGTTTAGTAACCGCTTAATTTAGATGTCTTGTATCAAGCTTGTAAGTGAAATGCCGAAATGCTGTTGAAAAGTAGAATCTGGCCAGAGATGGTCAGATGCAGTTTCTTTAGTGACTTATTCTGCAAAATAGCAGGCGTAAGAACAGCAAGCCACAGAAAGTGGGTGTGTCCTAGAAACACGCACTCAAGAAGAAGTTTCCAGGCCTCTCAGGACAGTAAAAATAAAAGTGAACATCGGGAAGATTGAAATCATTTTCTTTCTATATGTTTTGTTCTATGTTTATTTCTGACCCTGACAAAAGCAAAGAGGCTTTAAAAATATAACTTTTTTTTTTTTGTAAGAGCAGAGCACTGGGCTAACAATACAGTGAAACTGGAAAGAGCAACAAGCAAGCAGTTCTTTAGGAAATCTGATATCCCAAGGTCAAAGCTCCAAGTCCAAGACAGCACCAAAAAGCCCAAACTATAATTGAGATGGTTGAGTTTAAACATTATACATTTTTTATTCAATTAAAAAAATCACAGCTTATTCTAAATCTTCAAAGTAGTAGAAAAAAAACAGTTCTTAGTTATGTTATAATTGCTGTTCTTATATAAAAATTAGTAGTGATAAATCTTATATAAAAATTAGTAGTGATGAAGTCATGACCAAAATGTGTTTCAAAACCACCATCATCAATGGGAAGAAAGTTAATCAACCAGCTATCATTTTTATTTTCTTTATCCCTGTAATTCATTTTGCAGATAAGACATCTTGCGTGGGGGATCAAAGGAAGTCCTGAGTGGATGTGTGTGTGTGTGTGTGTGTGTGTGTATTGTTGCCATGGGCCCTGCCATTTCAAAAATCAAACCCTTAGACCATAGGATTCTCGGGTTAGGGTTAGAGCAACAGCAAAGCAAATGCCGACGGTGTGTGCAGAAAATTCCCACCGTAGCATTCTCCCGTGGCTGTTTACAGCCTGCAGACTGCTCCCCTACTAAAAACGGCGACTGCTGAGATTAGCTAAACCCACCTCCTTGCTCAGCTGCACGCCTTAAACTCGGCCTCCTTATCGGTACGCAATAACGCTGCGTGCGATAACCCCGCCCCCGTGAAACTATCCAGCAAGCACGCTGAGCTGAGCTTTCAGGTGCTGTGGTTTCCCCATCAGAGGGCCCACCTGAACTCAGTTTTTCTGTGTCCCTAAATTTGTCCTTCACACCATTGCCACCCGAGTTAGGTCAGTCCCTGAAGCTATGCAGAACAAGGCAACGTAGGCTCCGAAAGAAGACTCGCTGAGCAGCGTGAATACCTGAATTCTGATCCCAGCACCCACATAAATAGTGGGGTGTGGCAGTGCCCATGTGTTATCCCCAGCACCAGGGGTGCAGAGAGGCCCACCCCGGATGGAGCCTTAGGGCTAAACAGCCTCATGAACCCGGGAACTCCGGGTTCAGTGGAAGACTGTCTGACCAAACAAGATGGGGGGGGGGGGCATAGGAGGGGGCACACCCACTGCTGCCACTGACCCCTGGCCTCCAAAACTCACCCGAATATGCATACACCCTAAACAAACGAAACCAAAACAAGCCATCTGGTGCGTATTAGCAAATAATAAATCCCTGGAAAGAGGATGAAGAAACAGTGCGATCAAAAGCAGCCAATGGCAGCTGTTTGTCTCAAAGTTCAGCATCTCACAGGAACTAAACAGTCTCCATAGACCTGTGTTTAGAATTTTAAGATGACAGTTGTGTTTGTTGGCGCAGGAAGGTGCATGCGAGTCATGGCGGACAGGCGCAGGTTAAAGGGGGGGGGCTTGCAGGAGTCGGGTCTCCTCCTATCAAGTGGGCCTTAGGGACAAAACAACAAACAAACAAACAAAAACAAGAACTACACAGATCCTTACCTGACGATCTCTGCTTCCGGCCCAGAAATTCTCACTCTTAACAGCAGAAGATAGCACAGTGCCTTAGAGGAACTTCGTTTTCTGAGCTTTTGATCCCAGCTGTTCCCCAGGTCTTTCCTCCTGTGTTGCCTTGACTCCTGGGGCGTGGCCTTACAGCACTTCCTCCCACGCTCTTGCGGTCCTAGATCTAATCCACAGATATTTGTACAGCATTCGTGATAGATTGAGATATCAGAGTGGCCTGGGAGGAGGGGTGTAGTTTATGTAAAATCAGTATCTTGGAGCCGGGCGGTGGTGGCGCACGCCTTTAATCCCAGCCCTCGGGATGCAGAGGCAGAAGGATATCTGTGAGTTCGAGGCCAGCCTGGTCTACAAGAGCTAGTTCCAGGACAAGCTCCAAAGCTACAGAGACAGTATCTTTTATTCTTGTTTTATTCCTTAGTTACTGTGGAGTCTTCCTCGCCTACTGAAAGACTTGAACTTATAGATCTTTTTTTTTTTTTTCTTTCTACTAAACCTTTCCCCATTTTCATATGCTATGCTGGCTCTTTCCCCAGTGTCCTGGCGCTTTCCCTGACCTCCATGAAATGTTCAACCGTTGCTACCCTGCAGAGAAGTCAGCCACTCAGCAAGGACTCTACAGAGTAAGTCTCGCCCTTACAGGGTTGAATGGGACTCAGTAAGCAGTCTGTGATCTCTCTCTTTCTAGAGCTTTCTCTCTCCAGGCTTACCTCTCAATCCCAAAGATGGAGACAGGACCAGGTGCCCTGATTGGTTGTCCAAACATATGAGTTCAAAGTAGAGGTCGTAAAAAAGAAAAAAAAAAAAAGTGTGTATAGACCATGGTTTAGGGATTCCTCCCAACAAGGCCTCAAATGAACTGGGAATATGGCCACTGCTCCAGAAAGTTCTAGCTTCTCATCCCAGGATCTCAGGAACCCACCTCGAAAATCTGTTTCAGCTGTAATCAGCACGTAGGAAGGACATCATGCTAAGAAAGCCCGTCATCTCTAGGCGAGAAACTCCGGCTTTCAGCTAGGCTATTGAGGAAATTTCGTAAGGGGCGTAAACAAGCCCTAAACAATGTGTGCCCTGAGCCAGCGGTTACACAATGCAGCGTGCAGCAGAGGTGAACCGGGCTCCGCTTTTCCCAGGTTGGCTTTCGTCCCACGGCGTTCTCCGGGGGTAACCTGACCTTGAGTTTCGCGCTGGCACTATTTACGTGAGCTAATTGCCTGCCACCAGATAGAGTTCCAGCCGTTGGTTATCTCCGAGGCAAAGAGCAGCCCTGTTGGAAGTCCCCAATTGAAGGCCTTAAGTGGGGCACCAGTCCGGCCAACTAACACGGGGAGGTGAAGACAACGGAGTCACTGTGTGACTGACTCTTGGCCCTGTGCCCGAAGCGCAAGGTGTCGGGGAGCCAATCTGGAGATCCCGCCCTTTGCAGGAAGATCAGCTGTCTGGATGATTTAATTGGGGTTTCCCCCCTGTTAATCCTGTATGTAACCCATTGTTATCACTATTAAGTAGCATCCTGTGGAAATTTCTGGAAACGCTATAGCAGTGGTTGGAAATCTAAACACCGGGAGCTCAGCCTGTCCTGATGTCGTCAGTTGCTGTTTTAATTTAAATGTTTAGTGGAAAGCCAAGTCAAGCCAGACTTCTTGCTTCCAATGGGGCAGCACTGAGTGTGGGCAGGAGAACAAAGCATTTACAGTAGACTTCCCACCGGGAGGTTGGTTATGTCAAAGGGTCACATTGCAGCTCGTTAACTGGATGTTTCTGACAGGGCCAGACAGGACAAGCTCCTCCACCCTGAGGGGGATCAGCAGGCCAGGAGCCATCTTTTAGGGAGCCTGACCACTTAGCTCTTCAATGTAGTCCGAGGGAATCTCACAGTCCCTGGCTTTGTTAATCTGCCGGGACATACTTAGCGGTACTTGGAATTTCCGTCCTAGGTGTCAATGAGAAAAGTGAGTGCAGGAGCTATCTATGGCTTTTAGGAGAGAATTAGAGTTTTGTGTAAACTGTTCCGCGTCACAAAACAACCCACTGACCTACTTTACTGGTTCTAGGCTTTTCCTAAACGAAGAGCTGAAGAAACGGCAGCTTGTTTGGAAGGGGCAGCCAGGGCACTTGTCCAAACAAGGGGCTTTGTTTCATGAGTCCACCATCTTTACTTAGATGACTTGGAAGATAGACATTCTCTGTGGTGGGTGCTGGGAAGAGAAAGGAGGCCTGAGCCATCTTTAGAGACATCATCCTCTGCAAAAATTTGACAGTCCTGAGCACATAAGAAATAGAGATTAAAAAAAAAAAATCCTAGGGGGCTGGAGAGATGGCTCAGTGGTTAAGAGCATTGCCTGCTCTTCCAAAGGTCCTGAGTTCAATTCTCAGCAACCACATGGTGGCTCACAACCATCTGTAATAAGGTCTATTGTCCTCTTCTGGCCTGTAGGCATACACAGACAGAATATTGTATACATAATAAATAAATATTAAAAAAAATCCTAAATGAACTGAATGCCTAGCCCAAGCTTGCCCTAAGCATGCCTAAGTCATTTGGCGTGGTTAAGTCTTGTTTATTTTTTCTTTCTTTCCTCCTCTGCTCTCACTGGTGTATAGGATTCCAGTATATTGCCTCTAGCCATGTAGCAAGTTGGTACGGTCCAGCTCGCCACTCTTAACTCCTATAATTCTGTAAGGGCCAAACACGACGTGATCACAAGGGAGGAACAACCGAGGAAAAATACCCATCTGGTTCAACTGTGGAAGGAACTTAGAGGTGAATAAAAACGAACCCGTCTCCAGGGTCACACTAGAGAATCATTGTCCGTGGGAAAACAGCGCCCCCTGGTGCGTAGCCAGAGTTCCCGTCTTCTCAGCGCGCCTAGGGAGAGGGACTTTTTACAGCTTGGCCAACACAGGGATATGGCAGCGCGCCTTTCAATTTCCTGTTACTGATCTCACCGAATGATCTTGTCACAGGGGCTGGTGCCGAACCTTGACAGGGAGTCTACCAAAAACCCAGAAGCCCTTTCAGCTCCACCTTGCTTCACCTCCTTTGTTCCCTGCACCAGCAAGACTTAAAGTTCCCGCGTGACCTCCTCACCTTCTCTTCCGCGAAGGCCCAGTACAGAAATGGTCACGCTCCCTGTGCCTCTCACCATGGCAATAGCCCCGAAGAGTCCAGTCAATTAAAGAAGCAATCACTTGGGACTGCTTCTGGAGTTTCTTTTAGGATCTCGTATGTTCTACGAGGAACCTTACCAATAGAAAAAGCCTCTTTATCCAACTAGATGTAGGTCCCCAATTACAGGGCTCCTGTCCCGAGAACTGGAATGGTTTACATCTTGCCTAAGGGACGTATTGAATACCTTTCCTCAGAACCCCAGCAGCAGCTAAATGTGTGTATGTGCTCCCATGACACCCTGGCCTCAGTTCATCTCCTCACTGTGCTGATCAGGCTGATCAGGTCCCACTTGATGGATTTTATTTGAGACAAAGTCTTAAGTAGCCCAAGTTGGCCTCAAAAGCGCTGTGTAGCTGAGGATACTCTTGAGCTTTTGATCTCGTTGCTCCCCACCCACACCCCCCTCGCAAGAGCTGTGATTGCAAGCATGCACCACTATACCATGTCTGGCTAAGGATGCCAGTTTCAAGATGCATCAGGGCCATCCTTAGGAAGGCTGAACCTAGCGCGCCCATCGCCCAAAGAGAGTTCTGCTTACAGACTGTGTGAGCTGGGTCCTGACTCCCGAACACAAACCTTCTGTTTTTCTCTTTGCTGACAGTGAATGTCTCCTGCATTTTCTCACTGCAGGTCCTTTCAGCAATTATTCTGAGCTGCTGGGCATTTATTCTTGTTTGTTGTTTGCTTTCAACATAATTTTTTTATTGATTCACTCACTTTCCCAGTTCTTCCATGTCCACCCTCCCTTGTGACTTTCCAACACACGCACACACTCACACACTCATGTACACTCTCACACACACTCACACACATTCACATACAAGCACACTCACTCACACAAAAAAAAAAACACAAAAACAAATAAACACAACAAAAAAAAACACACACTCATACACACTTACACACTTGCACACACACATGCACGCACACACGCACATACGCATTCCTCCACGGTTTCTTCTTCAGTTCCTGCCTCCAGGTTGTCTTGAGCTCCTGCTCTGAGTTCCTTTCAGGACAGGCTGTGATGTGGCGTGTGAGCTGAAATAAGCCCTTTCCTCCCCGTGTTGTTTTTAGTCATGGTCTTTCATCGCTGTAATAGAAACCCTGACTAGACAGGGTAGATCCTGTCTCTAACTAACAGGCTGTCGTGAGTGTTTTGAGCATTGGCCACAATAGCGTAGTGTTAGGAGGATTAGGTAAGCCATACAGATGAAGATCTTAGCACCATGTCTGACGGAGTTCCAGCCATATAAGAAACGCTCTTGTTTGAAAGAGTATGACTCGTATATTGCAATGCTTGAACCTGACAGTAGAGGGAGCACAGTCATTAGGAAAGAGACGAGAACCCTTCCATCAGCGTTTTCAACCTGTGGGTTGAGACCCCATTGGAAAAGGGGTCGAACAACCCTTACAGAGGGATCACCTAAGACGGTTGTAAAACACAGATATTTACATTAGAATTCATAATGTAGAAAATTATAGTTACAAAGTAGCAGTGAAAAATAATTGTATGATTGGGGGTCACCACAACATGAGGTTTGTTGCATTAGGAAGGTTGAGAACCACTGTCTTAGATATTAAGCCCCTCTCTTTTTTCTAGGCAGGGTTTCTCTGTGTTGCCTTGGTTGTCCTGGAACTCTCTCTTGTAGACCAGGCTGACCTCGAACTCCCAGAGATCCGCCTGCCTCTGCCTCCGAATTGCTGGGATTAAAGGTGTGCGCCACCACCGCCCAGCTGCTATTAAGCCCTTTTCGGAAGACTTTGTCCCAGGGCTGATGAAGGCAGCGTGACCTGAAGACAGATGATCTGGGAAGCCCCACATCCCAGTGATGTTCACAGGACCATTCACCTGGTACTTGGTACACGCTGCTGGGGAACGGGACATGGTTTTCAGCATGTATATGTTCTGCTTGTCCATCATCCTTGTCCAACTCAAGAAACATAACAGAGGAAACTTGGAGATGGGAGATAAGGGCTACCACAAGATGAAAACTAATAACTGCTTATGTTACTTATACAAGAAAGAAGAGATGGAGTTGACTTAATTCTCTTTCTGGCAATAACAGTGATAACCCCCACCCTCCTGTCTGTCTGTCTATCTATCTATCTATCTATCTATCTATCTATCTATCTATCATCTATCTACCTACCTATCATCTATCTATCTACCTATCTATCATCTATCTACCTACCTATTTATCATCTATCAATCATCTATCTATCTATTGCCTATCTGTCTATCATCTATCTGTCTATCATCTATCATCTACCAATCATCTATCTACCTATATATCCATCATCTATCTATCTATCTATCTATCTATCTATCTATCTATCTATCTATCTATCATCTATCTACCTATCTATCATCTATCTACCTACCTATTTATCATCTATCAATCATCTATCTATCTATTGCCTATCTGTCTATCATCTATCTGTCTATCATCTATCATCTACCAATCATCTATTCTGTTACCAACAGTTATTACTGACTGGCTATTCCTCTTACCTAACTACTTACATTAGCTCTTTAATCTTCCCGAACATTTTATATGGAATCTATTCTACCATATGTACAGAGAGTAGTTTGGCACCACCAGAAACAGGTACAGAGTTCGGGTGATTGTTAACAGCAGAAGCAGAATCTGCCTTGCTAAAGACCTAAAATTAAGAATTTACCTCTTGGGAAAAAAACAGTAGAGAATCCAGCATAAGTTTTATAATCCAGAATGGGGTAGTATCTTTTAGGGAGGAAGGGGAGTCTGTGAGGGCATTTGAGGTTGAGATTCTTCACAGGGAATTCATTTTTTGAACTTAGTTTGCTTGACCACTTGGACATTTTTCGTCGTTTGGTTCTGAGGTGGGCCAGGGCCAATGGAGGGGCTTATTATTTAGACTTTTCTTGAAAACTGGGGTTAGTGCCTTTTCTGCGATGCTTCCTAAGATGGAGAGGTACGAGGATAAAGACAGATACTTCAGTCAAGAAAGAAGGAGGCTTTCAGCAGAGAGTCCTCCGGGAATACCCCTTGGGGAAAGTGACTGCGCTGGACAGGGGAACATAGCAGAAGCTCTCCGTCATCTGCCGATCTCCACGTGTGGCCCCGGGGTATTGAGAGACTTTGAAAAATTAAGCTGTTTTTATAAGAATCTTTTGCTTTTCAGTAGGTTGATACTACCAAAAAAAAAAAAAACCCACACACACTCACACACACACACACAAAATCAAAATCACTGGGCAAAACAGTTGATGTTTTAACACGCAACCAAGGAGGCAGTGCCAAATGATACCATCATGACTGGAGCCTTCTTGCACTCTGGAAGGGCAGCCAATGCTCTTAACCACTGAGCTATCTCTCCAGCTCTTCTTCTTGCACTCTGAAAAAGCTTAAATGCTGTCTAGCTAAAGAATATTATCAACTAAGAGGTTAAAAGTTTTGCTAAATCCTAGACCTTCAAGGTACACATTTTTAGTAGTACATACGGTGAAATAGGGTGTTCCGTATGAAGGCATAAAACGGGACTCTTGAGGAAAAGCACTTGTTCGGCTGTCTAACTGACTCCCCAATGTGGGCCTGTCACTACTGAAGAGCCGGTGTACCCAACCCTCAAATGGGGAACTTGATTCCTCACCACGAGCTCCACACCCTCCCAGCACGGGAGAGGCCCTTGGCGACATTTCCAGGTGTGGGTTTCTACCATTGTGGAGGAACTGTCCCAGGGTTCAGGGTGTCTGAATAATCCGATGGACAGATGATCGGCACACTGCCAAACTGCATGCGGATAAGAATTCCACCAGCACACAGAAGCCAGAGGGCTGGGCTGAACCAGTGGCTGAGTTCTTGTCCAGCGGGGCCAAGGCCCTGCGTTTGAGCCCCAACCCCGAGGAGAAAGCCACACAAATTGAAATACAAGTCAGGCCTAGGGGGTTTTCTGCTGTGACAGTAGACACAGAGGCTTTTGATAAGGTTTCGGGTTATACAATGTAGTTGGTTCCTGAGAAACTACTGCTTACCAGCTGAGAGTGTGGTTTCTAAGAATCTCAAAGCGTAACTTGGTTATCCAAAAGGACATCACAATAACTCAGCCTTTTCAATGACGTAGTTATATCAGTCTGGATTTTCCTCAACTAGCTCAACCAACATACTATTTTTACAACCATACACTGCAAGAGAAGATATGAACATCTAAGTGTCCTTCTCAGGACAGACATTAAAGGATGCAAATCACGAGAGGAGAGGTGGAGTAGAGTGTGATCCCCGCTTGGGAGACAGAGGCAGGAGGATTAGGAAGTGCAGTCATGTTAGTCATATTACATAGGGATTTGAGGCCAGCCTGGGTTACTCGAGACCCAGCCTCCAAAGAAACCCTGAAGCCGAACTTCACCCTGTGCTTTGAGGTTGGAAGACATTCTTGCTCTGCATAAACACGTTCATTTGAGCATAGAGCGGGGATGCTATTGGAAGCTCGAGTCGGTTACTTCAGAGTTTTGATAGGATGAATAATGATTGCAAAACTGTAATACACAATCATGGGGGATGCTCAGCAATTTCTAAAAAGTATTAATAAGGGGTCCCAAGAACAACTAGGGGAGTCATAAGGAGACAGAGAAGGCGCCTCCATTTTGTACAGCAGCGCTCAACAGTTAAAACGTAACAATAAGGACACAAAAACCAACGTGACCAACACTCTAAGTAGGGTAGGAAGTAAAAAGACCAAAAGTAAGTAGTCTTTACCTTTGCTGTCCAGGAGGCTAGCCACTAGTTACCAGGGGCTTTTAGACTCTAAAGAAATGCGGTCCCAACAGAGGACTCTAAGAGACTCAGGGTACTCAACATGAAGGAGCACCAAGGATCTTATTGAAGTTTTTACATTGATTATATGCAGAAATGTTGAATTTCGTGGATATTAGGTGATTAGTGCTATTGAAGCTCACCTAACCTGTTTCTCCTATTTAAATGTGGCTGGGCCTGGGGCAATGGCACAGTGGGTAAAGCCCTTATTTGCAGGCCTGGGGACTTGTGTTTGAATCTCCAGAACCCCTGTGAAGCTGGATGGGACGATGCAGGGGAGTCCCCAGCAGCTTTCAGGCCACCTGGGCTGGCTGACTCAGTGGCAACAGGAGATCCTCAAACAGGCTTAGAAGGCCAGGCCTAACACTTGCCTCTTGCCATTGGTCTCGGACTTTCCCGGAGATCCAAGCAGCATGCACACACCCATATCCACGGACATATCCTGAGAGAGAGGGGAGTGGAGAAGAAGGGAGGGAGAGAGAGAATAAGAGCATGAGGGGGATCCGAAAATCCCAGGAGTGCATCCCTTATCTCTCAGACAGTTTGGATTGAAGGAGAACAGAAATTCAAAGTAGGAAAAAGTACAGTGGGCTTGGGCATTGTTGAAGTCCCCACAAAGGCTAGGATTTCACTGCAGAGAGGCTGGAGAGGAGACAAAATGAAGGGAGCATGGGCAGTGAGTGATGGCAGATTCCTTGGAGGGAGAAGAGTCTTCTGGGCAGGCTGGGGCCAAAGCAAACTGAACCTGGGTGTCAGGAATATTGCCTTATGGGTAAGCAAGCAAGCAAGCGGAGAAGGACTCAGAGAAGACCAGCTGCAGTTCCTTAGCAATTCAGGGAGTGCTTGAAGTCGGACTTTTTTTCATGTGGGAACCGAGCAACACAGCTTCTGGAAACTTCCCTGTGGCTAAGCAGTCACAACCTGGCCTCCCAGAGCGGTGACTGTACAAAGCTGACCACAGTGTTGACTGACACATTGAGGGGAGGGGATGGCATCCCTGACACTTTGTCGCCTGGGTGACGGTCTTTGCGCGGGTGGCGCACGCTTTTTGCTTTTTGCCTCCATATTCTAACCTAGACAACGTGTAAGTCCAGACAGAAAGTGCGATTCAGAAGCAAACGGAATCTGTGATTCTAGACCAGGCCCGTGTCACAAAGAGGGAAGCACACACCACAGGTTTGAGGACAAGGTTACTTAGAGTGGGAGGAAGCTGGCTAGAGAGGGCAGACCCTGGGAACCTCCGCAGGAGATGGCCCAAACCTCCGAAGGAGCAGACCTACCTGCGGGAGGTTGGTGTGTTGGTTCTGGTTGCCCAGCCCTCCGATTCCAGCGCTGGCTCGCCAGAAAAGTGCCGTTTTGTCTGAGGAAAACAGGGGTCCCAGGCCTTTAGCTTGAGCGTACAGGATCTCTTCTTGTCTGGGAAAGACTGAAAAAGGAGTGTGTAGCCCCGACTCGAATTTTTCTGGCATCTTTGGGCCTTTCTGCGTTCGTGAGCGCTGCCCGTTTTCTAAGGTTGGGGGCCGTGTTCTGCGAGTGGGCTTCATTCTGACTGTGCAAAGCGTTCGTTTCTAAACCAGAGTGGGTGGGAACCGCCTTAGAGCCCCAGAAACTCGAACACTGACGCACAGGAAAGCCTCAAGTGGGTGGAGAAATGCAAATCCCCTAGTGGCGTGGCGTCAGCGGCTGTGGACCCCGAAGGCAGGTTCTGACTCTGGACTTGACCTGGACGGAGGGAGGGAGAGCCAGGTAAGCCCGACGGCCCGCGTTGCCTGGGGCCTCTCCGCAGGGGAAGGGCTTCTCGGCAGGTGGCGTCGGGTTGTTTGTTTGAACGTGCCGGAGGAGGGTCTTGCTTTTTACACCGAGAAAAACCATCTTCCGAAGAGCTGAAGTTCTGGCGCGGGTCTTCCTGGAGGAGGGGGAAGCCGCGCCGTCCTGAGGCTGAGCGGTGGGATGGGGGCTGTGGCTGCGGCGGCGCTGTGGCTGCTGGGGGGGGGGGGTCTTCATTTTCTGTAGCCGGCGGAGAATTGTGATGTCTTACTCGAGATGGGCATAACTGGGTTTCAGAGAAGCAGCTCCCAACTAGGGTGGCGGGTAACTGCGGTTTGGGAAGTGCGAAATATGCTTCAGGGTGGGTCCGCTCCCTCTGCAAAGTGGCCAGCGACAGCACAGCAAAGCGTGCTCCAGGGCGGTGGACCCGATGCAGGCAGGTTTTAGATGGACAGTACCTATCTTGCAAGCAGGACTGTGAGCCCCTTAGAGAGTGAAAACAGAGACACGCCGCTGCAGGTCTAACAGCAAAACAACGATGACAACAACCCCCCCCCCCCCAAACCAAAACCAAACAAACGAGCAAAACCTTGTATTTCCTTCAAGTTTCACTTAATGTTTCTTTCCATCGGTTTAATGTTTTCGAAGAGTAAAATTTAAAAGTTAATTATCAAATCTACTCGTGTCTCCTACCCTCCGAATCTTCTCTTCTCCCCGGGAGTATTTCTTCTCAATTTTATGGGCTGTTTCGTGCCGGTTTTAAACCCACTTGAGTTCACTTAGTGTTGCCTCGGTATGACGGGTGATGGAGGTCAGCCTGTCTACTGGAGCATGGGTAACTTCAGGGTCTGCATCCCTGAAGAAAATTGACCCACCCTCCCGCCGCCCCACAACCATAAGCTGGCATTAGCTCCTCAGCCAGAGGTGAGACTTCCTGACAAACTCAAGCCAGCTAGGTCGGCTGGCTTTCAACTCCAGGGCTCGCCCAGGGGAGGAGGGTCCTTCTGCTCTGTTTTCAGCCTTGGTTTGAAAGAGTGACGGCTGAGTGATTTAATTGTCAGATAAATTTTTAGTTAGGAAACAGACTTGCGTTCAAACTGTGGAAAGGGTTTAGTCATAGAAACGGTGAAAGTGGTCAATGCTGTCCCCAGAACCTCCATCCCCACTTGCGGGTGTCAGTGTCCCCAGCACCCCCACCCCCGTTTGTCGGGTATCAGTGTACCAAGGCCTTGTAGCTGGTAAGCTAGAAAAAGGCTCCATTTTTGTTCCCAGATCTGGGACGTCTGTCAGCCGCACACTGTGGACAGCGGTCCCATCCCCATAGAAGCTTCCTATCCTGCTGATTCTTGGCTCCCTCAGGAGGGGCCACACGTGGGTCCCTGAACAAGCGTTTATGGAACACTCATGACTTAACCTACACCGGCCAGTTGTGAGCGCTCCTGAACACAGCCATCTGCAAGACCCAGATGGCTTCTTTCCCTGCTTTCTCCTGAGTGCAACCCAACTTTAGAGCGTTTAGTGGGAGCGCAAGGAAAAGGATGTTTAAATGTATAAAAGTGTTCCCACTGAAATCTAAAGACCACAGATACTCAGTTTGTTCTACACGCAAAAGGAAGCACGCTGTACTCCCAAGGGGTGTCAAAATACTGTGTTACGCTGTGGGAGGTTTTCCCTTGACTTAACATCACTGCTCAAGAATTCTGCATTCCGAAAGAGCAAAATATAGGAACTTCAGGGGTATTATGTCCTAATGATGTTTGTTCATGTTATATAGATGGGACGGCTTATTCTAACTTTAACGTGAGGCCCTAACCATTGTCAGAGGCAAAGTAGGCTTTGTACATAAAAAAAAAAAGCTTCGCCCAACCATAAATCCCTAGAGAAAAATAAAATGTTTATGTGTTTAGAACTCTTTTGCACTGACTCGACTAGAACCATGGAGAAGTCAATGCGGGTCACCCCTCAGGAAGCTGCCACAGGATTGGACTCCAGTCAGGGGCAGGAGGCTGGCTGTAGAGCCCAGATACACATGAAATAAAAAAAGCAGGCTTGAACCTTTCCATCGAAAAGAAATTCTGGGGAAGAAATGCCCGGAAGGTACAGTCAGCGTGGAGCGTATGGTTACCTTCAGCTTGCTCAGGGAGGGGTGGCTAAGGAAGCAATTTGCTGACCTTACAGATTCTGGAATGGAGGCTATGTGGACAGTCGGGGTAGGGCATGGGGCGTTTGGGGAGGAAGGTGGGACTTCCTGGAGCAGAGGCATAGGAGGTCATGGTAGAACAAGGAAGGATGTGGTTTGGGGGCAGACTCAGGCGACTGTCCTGCATTAGGGATACCTTTCAAGAAAACGCTAAGAGAAATTGCTGAGTATTGGGTTTTATATTTTCTCCTTTTGTCTCTGAGAAACTATAAAAGTTGATTTCCTCCCTCCCATGAACTAACTAATAGCTAACATCTTATTCAGGTCTGAGACCAAAAAAAAAAAAAAAAAAAAAAAATCCTGTCTTATGGCTCCCAGTGAAGACTATTTAAAAATCTAACTTTACCCTTTGTTTTATAGCATGTCTCAATGGAATCAAGTCCAACAACTAGAAATCAAGTTTTTGGAGCAAGTAGATCAGTTCTATGATGACAACTTTCCCATGGAAATCCGGCATCTACTGGCCCAGTGGATTGAGCATCAAGATTGGTAGGT